CCCCCCCCCCAAAACTGCACCTATGCCACCACGGCGCTGTGCCTGCCTGAGGCTACTACGCCCATGTTAAAAAGTGGACGGGCATGGCCCCCTTAGGTCTCCCCCCAGTTCTGGCACCCCCTGGGCTCCCAGGGTGTGGGGGACCCAACTGTTCCGGGTGCCCAAGGCCCCAATAAATCTTAATCCACCTCAGCCCCTGATGGCGGGATGTCTGGTGTCCCTGGGCACAGCCCCGCCGCCCACAGCCTGACCCACTGCCACAGGGGCCAAAGCCCCAAGGTACTTGTCCCGGGTGGGGCCAAACCGCGCACCCACCCCTGGTTGTCCCCCCCTCCCACAGCCCCTGCAACAGACCTTCCACTCCCTCCCGGCAGCGTCGCCCTATCCGCTGCCGCACATTCCATTCTACTGTATAGCTCCGCTTTCCGCTTCTCCCAAAGGGAAGGGGGACTCAGTAATAATATTCGAGGTCGTTTTAATCCTTGCGTTTTTCACGTTGCTTCTATCATTTTTCCCCCCAATAACTGGCTGACCAAATGTGCTGCGTCGAATCTGCTGAGCCGAAACTACCACTCCCTCGGATTTTTTGTTTGACGAATATGCTATTGGGAATATGAAGGGTGTTTTTAATCTTTTCAAAAATTCAACGTTTGTTTTGCTTTAAAAATATGTGAACTTTTTATTATTTTAAATTAATGATTTTTTTAAAGAAAAATCCCCCGTTTGTTGTTGTTCCGATCGTTCGAAGTAATGGAAGGTGTGGGTGTCGAATATGCTGAGAGAAAAAGGCAGGTTAGTAAACAGTGTCTATTCCTCGAGAGCCGGCCAGGGAGGGAGACAACATGGCGGCGGGCGGCGGCCTCCCTGGGCTCCTGCCTGCCCAGACCCAGCTGGAGTATGCCCTGCTGGACGCCCTCACCCCTCAGGAGAAGGACAACCTGGTCTACCAGTACCTGAGGAAGGTGGACAGCTGGGAGCAGGACCTCAAGGTCCCCGACTTTGGAGGAGGTGGGTGATAGGCGAGGGCTGGGCCCTTCCCCGGGCCGGGGGCTGGTGCCACGGGGAAGCCGCTGCCATCGGACTGCGAGGCGGTGGGGTGGCACCCTACTATAGCGCGACATCGCCATGCAGCTCTGGGGTGTTGTCACCTCCCTTCCCCTTCCCCCCAAATTGCCTCTGGCACTTGCCACCACGGCCCTAGGAATCGCACCCAGAGAGTTGGGCTGGTGTAAGAAGATCAGTTGCCATGATTCAGTCTCTGGGTGATAAGAAGCCCTGAGTTCTAACCCCACTTCTTTCTGTATTCTCCAGGAGGCGGGTGGTATGGGAGCGTGAGTGGCACAGGACTGGATGACAGGAAACTCTGAGTATTCATCCCTCTTCTCTCTCCGTCTAGTTATCTGTCTTTTTCCCCTGATCATGAGCAGTTTTGCTTAATGTTGTGGCCTCCGCTTTCCTAGCTGTAGAATAAAGACAAGTCTCCAAGAATAAAAAGTTAAGCAAACACCATGGCACTGCCTTGAGATAAAAATGCACCAGCCTTCAGTGTTGCCATCTCTCGCAATTTTATTGTCAGTATTTCAATGTTTGGTGTTTTTCTTTAAGCCTTAGCTGCTGGAATCAGGTTATTAATTGAGAATCTTAGATTTTTGTTTAAAAAGTATGAAAATTGTCACCCTCATGGTTGCAAGAAATGTGAATCAAAGGCTCCAGTCAAAAGGTAAATAAACAGAACACCATTAAAAATTATTTTAGCCACTCATGATGTCTATCAGGGATGGTCTAGACAGTATTTGGTCCTGCCATGCGGGCAGGGGACTGGACTCGATGACCTCTCGAGGTCCCTTCCAGTCCTATAATCTATGAATCTATGATTTTGGAGGGGAGGGGTCTTCCCCATTATTTTTAATGCTGGGGGTTGATTAGTAGTACTGTTATCTGGTGCATTATGTGTCTACACCTCCTTGTGTGTTTACGGTGTCCTTGACTTAATAGCAGTCAAGAAATAGTAGGGTAGGTAGTATAATTATCCTCACATTTAAGTGGGAACAGAACCCAGGAGGCTGGGTGTAAAAG